CTGCAAACGTTTGGCATATACGAACAGTTCAGAAACATAGATCACTCTTGCGTAGCAGGCTTGGTTTGGAAACGCTTTATATTTGAAGTGCTGTTACCACCTAACCTTCAGTGCCTGGCACATAAACCGCCACTCAGGGACACCTTAGATCCCTCCCCCACTTCCATATGAGCCATCTGAGGCCAGACACCAATTACACAAAGTACCCAAGCGCTGCAAGGCGCCCGCCGCAGTGCATCTGCGTATCCCTCACTTTTTTTCTACATTTACGTTAGCTACCGCCCCATGTAAGTTGCCAACGAGGTTTCGAAGAGGTGAAAGGAATGCACTCCGATGACGACTTCAAGGGACGTGCAAACGCTGCCCCGCAGCCACCACGTTGGTCGGCGAAGGCGATTCACTCGTAAGCCACTCCATCCAAACAGCGACGCTCCTGGGCTTCTGTTGAGGGAAGCTAGTCCCAACAAGAGGCGTCCTGAGACTGAGCCCACCATCCCATCTGGGTGAGAGTAGCCTAGTCCTAATCAGGATGGATTGGGGTTGAGCTGATGAAATAGGAACACATGATGGACAAAATGCCCACCAATGCTCTCATCTCACTGAGCACGAATTCATTAAGTTACGGGCTGACTATGTGTGAGCTTTCCCAGGGAGGGGTCGGTTCTGACACATGTCCTTTTTGAGAGCATTCAATTTTTTGTCCTGGCGATGCTTTTATGGGGAGTGAATTCTTTAGATGTAAAGCTCCGGACCCGTGAGCACTATCAAAGGCGATCAGTTCTAAGCCCCCCACCTTCCCTTGCATGCATGGATCTGTGTGGGGAGGCAGTAAATGGGGCGATATTCGGTGATCAAATTCTCTTGCAATGTTGTTTCATTTCTTCTGGAGTCCATAATGGACGGCATTACGATTGAACTATTCGTCACTGCGAGGATTTGCAGCCCTGGTGTAAACAAAACAGGAAGAGGGAGAGCCCCAAGTCCCGGGAGCTGTTTTTGCCATTCGGGAAGGAGAGTCAATCTATTATTGTAAAAAGCATGGAATGGGGGTTGGGATGCACGGGCTACGCGCGCCCTCTCAAAGATAAGCGTTCACACAAAGTTCCAAGGGTGCAACAGTAGGGCGCGCCGCTCCCCATGCTGCGCGTCAGACACCTCCCGGAGACACATTTTCTCATACAAAACATTGGCACAACGCATTTTCCACCATTGCACTTGCGCTTTTGCGCATCGCGGTATGCAACACGTCTGGCGCAGCCAGGCTGCACAAGAATGCTAGCACAAGGGAAAAAAGGGCCAAACAGCACTTTTATGAACACACATAAAACACATTTCATCAAAGTTCTGCACGCTGAGAATACAAAAATAACACAAACCCGAAAACTTTGTACACGTTTGAACACGTGTTATATGGCTCTTTTTCCCTAGTGTAGAGTCTGGGTTGAATGAACAAATCATAGTTTAAGTGAAAAGCATCCGCAGGCAGGTTACACTGCAAACTGCTGCGCCACATGCACCACAGCCTGGAACACACTGCTGCACGCACGAAAGCAACGAGCTTTGAACAATGTTCAAAAGGGTGTTTTGGGGGCATGTCACGTCCCAAGGCATCATTTTCAACATGTTGATGCCAGGCCAAAGCGTCCAACACTATCCGAACACGAGAACACGTTTTGTCCCCGCAGAAGCAAGCCTAGGACACGCGCGTGCGCTTTGAAGAAGATATGCATGCCAAATACACAAGGGTAAGCATGCGCTTGTGCACACAAACTTGGAGGTTCCGTGGAATGTGAATTGCCCAATGTACGACGATGTTGACTGCTGTGCAGGACTTCCAACTAGTGTTCTTAATGCTACAGGCGCATTACTTCTTGGTGGGGTGGCCTAAACCGTCGACTGAAGGAACCTGGTTTGCTGGAATCTGTTAAGGGCAAAGAAGGGAATCGCGAAAAGTGTGTCCATCCAGGTTCGAACTGGAGACCTTCAGTGTGTTAGACTGACGTGATAACCAACTACACCATGGACACGTACCAGATACTGCAAACAAATAAAATATAAATTAAATGTTTCTGGTTGTGATTCCGTGATTTGTTTCGGTGTTGTGCACTGCCTCCAAGACCACTTGAGGTGCACACAAACAATCACGGCACCTGCTTGGACCACAGCAATCCGGAATGGTACCCTGGCCTTGGTTAAACTTGATTTGTTGAGCAAAGGCACCACTCGGAAAGACTTTTCTGCACTTTCTGCAGGTGCATGGCTGTCTTGCGCCTACCGACGCCGGGGCATTGTTTTGTGCAGTCGACTTCAACACCATTTGGGATCCTAGCTCTCATTGTGGCGGCTACATGCTGACTAGACGCGGTGTATTCTACCTTGTTTCTTACCGTTTTTTACTAGCGGTTTGGCGGTGCCACGAGTGCAGCAGCCATATCGCCATTGCATCTGCCCAGCTTGGACAGCACACCGCTGATGGTGGCCCCTTCGATGCCCGCTGCAGTGCACCCTTGAGAATGGCTCTCACCGCTTCACTGGGCCTCCTTCCACAGAGAAATGGGATGCCACTTGAAAGGGCTGGCACGGCACCATTCCCGCACATCCTATGTTCGTTCCCTGCAGTTCTTTGACTTATTGGCGCGCTCTGCAGAGCGAAATCGGCCCAAGGTTGTTTCACAGCACGAAGCTGGTTGTGCCAATGTCAGATGCTGGTCAGCAAGTGTAGACATGTGTGCTCTGCGCTCCATTGACACGTCTCATGTAGACAAGTTGCGAATCGACGAGTGGAGCGCGCTCTGCCGGGGATCGAGGTCGACGTGCGCAAAGGGCAGATGGGCAACGACCAGCGACGAGGAGCGCCGCTATTGTGCATGCTTGCGTTGAGGCGCAGTCAACTTACATTGAGTATTAGTTGACTCGCCGTGAACGCTGGTTGCCCGCGCCTCCGGCACAGACCTCATCCAGCGGCCAACACTGAGCCTAAATATTCAATGACGCAACGATTTCAGAAATGTAGTTCCAAACATTAATAATCCGATTGTTATGCGTGCCAAATACAAGCACTTCATGCCAACCACAGAGTGTCAGCAGCGGAAAGTGGTGACTGAGAAACACCGTACTCCATTGGCACAGCGCTTCCTGGAGGGGCCTGCCGAATCAGGACGACGCATTGTCACCACAAGGTGGGGGCGACGCCCCGATTACAAAAAACGATCCAATCGGTTACATGCAGTACACCAAACTTTATAGCACGGATCCACCAAGATTGCAGCCAACCCCGCGGCGCGGTCCGCAACACCGCGCGCGCAACGCCGGCGGGCAGCAGCGCGGCGGGCGCGGCGCCGCCATCGCGCGCCGCCCCCGCACACGCGCCGCCCTGTCACAGCCGGCACGAATCAATCCATTATGCAGGACCAAGACCTCCAATAATTTCTCAGTTTTTTTAATTCAATGCAAACGAACGCCAGGGCAAACGCGCACACTTGTGGTGTCGTACTCACTTTATCCGATCCGTTTTGCAAACCCATGTTCCATTTCGCGTTCCTGGAAAAATACAGCAAGCAAACTTCCCAACGCCCCCACGCAGGGGCCCCACGCCTTGAGGCCCTGCAAGGCGGAGGGGCGTGAGCTCCCACGGTCCCGAATCTGACCTCGGTTCAGAGTCCTCCTTCCACCCACCCTGGTGCCCATCCCCCAGGCCGATCGGCGCCCAGAAGCGCACAACCGGCGCCGGCAAGGACGCGTCCATTCTCCCAGGTGCTTGCCCCACGTTTGCCGACGCCTTCGGAAGCGCGCCCCCGGGCACAAACATGCAGATCTTCATTCAAAGCTCCCACGCCTCTTTTCGCCACCCGGCAGTAAAAATTCGATCACCTAGCAGTTTTTGCTTCCCCGCAATCACACGGGACACGGGTAGCGAGGCAACTTCTCACAGCCCCAACCCCCGGCCCCAAGAGCTTGGCTCCTTCGACCCTGCCACGGCCTCTTGGGCGCACGCTGCGCGCGACCTGCCCTCCCGCACCCGGCACCGCGCCCGGCGCGGCGTGGCCGGCAACGAACAGCAACCTCTGCGCCCATGGTCGCCGCAGCAGCTCCCGTCACTCTGGTGTCAGTCCCCAGTGGCACGAAATGGCCAATGCTCTGCCAACATTCGCCCCTGCGGCTCCCAACACGTTGCTACAAACGGCCCACGGGCCCAACTCACGGCCAACGTTGTCGAAACCCCAGTCCCCCAAGCCTGCATTTTAGTACGAGTGGACACACCCCCACATTTGTTTCTAATGGTACACTCTATGGCCCCATGGCATGCGACCCTCCCTCTGCCGTGAACGTCCCCCCCTCCCCTCCCCTCTTCCCGGTACAGACCACGATCTCTGCCCAACAAAAAAGCGTCCAAAAAAATACGAATGGCCTGTGCGCAGGCGAAGCACCCCCTGCACACACGCCACTGACCAAACGGGCTGCCCGGTGCGTCAGCCTCGCCCGTTCCGGCTCCGACAGTGAAAAAAAAGGAAACAGCCCTCAAAATGAAATTTGACACCATTAGAAATCGGTACACAATATCAAAATTGCTCCAGGTGTTGTAACCCAGCCTTGCACCCCCCGGCTGGAGACGAGCAAACCCAGCGGGGCTGCTGGAGCCGCTGATGATGGCACAGTACAGTTGTTTTGGTCCATTGGGGACCAGTCAGCCCCGAGTTGATATCTAAGCGCACAAGGCAGAGCGTGACCGAATTCGTCAACTCTTCCATTTTCTGCTCCCCACTTCGCTGCGCAATGTTCCATCTAATTGCCTGGTCGGTCAAGGGCGACATCTGCTTTCAACCCAACGTCCGCTCCATCCTGCTAGCTACTTGACCGCATCCCACTCCCAGCATCCTGTTCTGACCTCCCACTCTCCCCCTACGCCCCTCGAAGTACATTGCTTTGGTGTCCCACTCTCCCCCTATGCCCCTCCAAGTACATTGCTTTGGTGTCCCACCCCCCGCGCCCCCCTTGCTCCCTCAGAACCTTGGACAGGACATACCGAAGTTGGAGCCAGGGATGAGCTCTTGCACCTTCCACACCCCGTCCTCCAGAGCAACCTGGATCCGATTAGTGAGCAGATCCACGAACAGGCCCCATTCCTCATCCCCCATGTTGCTGAAGATGTCGTTCGTGCTAGATGGGGCCGCGCCCTCCACAGGCGGCGGGTAGGCGAGCGGGTCGCACGCCGCGGGTCTGCTAATCTGCATGCTCAGTTTGCGCTGCCTCATCTGGCCCTGGGGGCCCACGGCACGGTGCTGGTGGGCGGAGGGCAGCTGCAGGGAGACCGACCTGGGGAGAGAACACACAATGGGTTCGATCATGGTTTGCCAAAGTGTGCCAGGGAGGTACACAAACTTGAGGCGAGCAAATATCACAGCATTTCCAAAACACATAGTATGCTATTTTACACTGTATTATATACAAAATGACGTATTTCCTCTGTCCCACATTAATGTCCTTTTTTTGGGCGCATTATTTCTCCAACAGCGAGAGCTCTTTTTCTGATGAAGTATGTTTGAAAGCCGTGTTTGTGAGTCTGGAGTGTGCGGTCAGAAAAAGATGCCAATCCGTTAAGTGTTGAGGATTTGAGAGTACTTTGTAGCAAGGGTCTCTTACCTGGTAAACCTCGAAGTTTTGGGTCAAATTTTACCAAATCTACCTTTTGCTCAACGCTTAAGGGTGTGCGAGCTCACTTGTTTTCTTGAAACCTAGTATTTAAGGGTTTTGGGGACCCAATATTTACGATTCTGACCTTTTTGTGTAGCTTTGAAGCCATTCTTGTAGTCAATTTTGTCTTTCAATTAGAGGACATGTAATATGGGACAGGAAGTACAACAAGATGCGTGGTATGATCAAATACATATTACATGACGCAAATATGACCCGACAAGATCCAAAATATCGCTAGAGCGATGAAGGACGCAATTCAGCTAACGGTACTTGTTTCACCGCGCTTTTTTCACTCCTTTGTTCGCATCTTTGAGAATGTCAGTGTATATCAACCCTCGTTCACATCTGGCCACTCCAACAACACTGACCTGGAAGCCTTGTGGCAAGCGATTGTGCGGCCCAGGGGGCCCTTTGAGGATCTCTTTGCCCCTGGTTCGGCTGCGCAGATGCTCATGTTTTCGAAAGAATCCTCCACGGGCTCAACACCCTTGGGCATCTGCTTGCTGTCCATGTCATAACCCAGTGGCGAATTATTTGCATAGACGTGCTGAGGGGCTGGCGGGTTGTCGAAATCTGTGGAGAAGGGTGTGGAACACTAATGTCAGAAGCATGCCAATGAGCCCCTCCTCACAATAGGAATTCTTGAGGACTACATTATCAAGCACTTCAAGCAACTCACATGTGCACAACATTGCAGCAGCCAACATCGATCAACATCTGGCCAGACATGCCATTTGCATCCACAGGATCGCATCGGTTTGCTCGGTTTGCTGAAAACTTGCTTGATGAAAAGCCTACAGACAAGCTTGGCCGTCATCAACAACTCAGACCGCCTCTTTGTACCCCTGGTGTTGCAGTCATGTGCGTCACACTTGTGACAACAGAATACAGATGACTGTTGACTGCAACAAAAGATCAATGTGAAAACGAGCCTGCTTCATGATACTGGAACAATTGATCCAATTGATAAGTACATGAATGCAAGCATAGTCTACCTCCACTGCAGCCATACTCCACTGCACCATTTGCCCAAGTACTCCAATGGATGTGCTATATTTGTGCACACGTGTTTCGAGTTCATATGCTGAAGTGCTTCATCCTGGTTCAGGCCTATTTCATGTGAACGCATATACTTTCTACATGAACGTCACACAAGCACAACACAAACTTCAAAGCAAGCGGCGCAAACAGAACTCTTGCCACATACCAGGGGGTGGCATAAGGATAAAACTACTGGATGAGGGACAGAAAACCACATTTGGATGCGCACACGTTCACCAATGTCTGCAAGGTCCAACAACACAGTTTGGTCTTCTGAAGGCAAATCTGAACAAAGGAATTGAGACACTTGCCTTGCGCCAGTTGCTCCCCCTGCATATCATCTATGCAGAACTGAAGCTCCTCCTCCTTCACTGGACTCTTTGAGTAGCTATCCCCCTCGCCATCTGAGTCGCTTGGGGAGGGCCCCAGGCTGCAATTCCAACCGTACGCCATCACCTCCTGCTTGACCTGCATGCAGATCCTCTCAAGCTTGGACTGCTCATCATCCAGGGCAACCATCGGCCTGCACATCCAAAGTATGCTGACTCTCAACATCAATTATTCACAATGGCTCCCACCACCACAGCATTTTTAACTTCACTCCTTCTTCTGTTGTGTCTGCTTTCACAAGGCATGACGCCAACAGTTCTGCAAAGCTGCCCTGATGGCACTGGGGAGGAGGATTGGCAAACGACATGGATGCACAAGCCGGCCTTCCCAACATCGGGGCAAAATGATCTGTGGCAATGTCCATAAAACAGCAGTTCATGTTTGCTACCCACAGTAATCACCACACAGTCGACTGGCTCACCAGGGAAATGGAAGTGTCATCTCCTCATCGACCTGCTGCGCAAAAGCCCATGTATGCAAGTCGCCATCAACCTACCCTAAGCCCCAAGTCGACTGACTGATCACACGAAAAAAAACCCTTTTGTTGCCAAAAAAACACACTCTCTTTTAGCACCCGCTCTATGACACAATCGCTTCGCTCACCTGCTCATCACTTCCCCGATCTCGTGCAGGGACAGCCCTGCAGCTGCACACTGCTGCAGCAGCAGGGTGGTGACCTCCAGGGTGCGAAGACACTCCACCGGCAGGATAGGCAGTGCGGCCTGCAGAAGCTTCTTGTCTGCCTGGAAGTCCAGGTCAGCAATGTACTGGAGCTCTTCCTCTGAGAAGGGAAGCATGGCCTGCAAGAGAGATCACAGGCCATGGCCTCAACGTGCATCACTCCGCACAGCCATCGACTACAGTTGTTACAACAGCCACGACAACAATGGAACCTGGAACCTTGCAAGCAACGCCAGTGCAGAAAGATCCTATCAACGTCTATTCAACAACCAAAGCAACCAGAATCGATATCCGACCAGTGATAGCACTTCAGGAGCTGCAATTAAAGCACTCCTGACTGCACC